GAGGTTGTTTTAGTGGTTTATAAATAATAATTGCCCTAGTTAACTTCAATTTGGGGTTAATAATGTGGTTTCAACTCCTCTATTAATGAGGGGTTTAGTTTTAAGATTCCTTGGTCCCGCTTGAGCCAGTCCCACCCATGCACCCAATCCACTAGAAATCAAGTCAAAAGTTGTAATTAGGGTGCCTTGAGAAGAAAAGCCATCCATGTCTAATCACCAAGCTGAGGAGATAACCCTCTGATTAAAATTTCGTGTCCCCAATTGATAACCAAATTTTTTGATTTGACACCAATAAATATTCTAATTAACACCTTTAGTCTGTGTGTCCACATGCTTCTGCCCTCTAACTAAAAATCTTTTTTTAGCTATAGCTGTAATAATAATAATTCGAAATAGGACTAAGTTTTCATGGTTTAGAACTTAGAATCATATATAAAGTGTGATCTATAATTAATTTTAAGGTCAATGGACGAGGACAATGCTTTTAACAATGCTTTGTTTGCATAGAAGTTTCTCTCATTGAGATCAATTACGTTCTTATTAGATGACTGATTGCTTGCCAAAAACCCCTTTACGCATGAGGTGATTGTCTTGTTTTCAATGTCGGCAGTTATTTCAAATTCGAATCTCGGCTCTTCTATTGATTAAAAGAATTCGGGGATAGATGTACCTCAACTATCTCAATATCAAACTTTAATTTTTGTTAGTACAAAAACACGATAGGGTTGGCTTTCATTTGGTTTACTTCAACTCTTATGTGACATAATTTGGCGTCTTATATATAAGATCATTCATTCATCCCTTATTACATAGGATCCACATTTGCCTTATCATTCGTGTCATGTAATCGAACACACACAAGTGGAAGACATATCAAATCTTTTTCCTTTTCGGGGTTTTGATTCACTTGCAAATTATTTACAATTACAAGAAAATGGCACTCCTCGTTTTATTAATATTTTAACTTTTAAAAACTCCTTATAACTATATAAAATTACATTTATAATGAGAAAACATTTTACTTCTTATTACAAAAATATTATGCAAATATGTCAATTCATCAGACTCATGCTTTTGTCTGCTTTGCTTTATACGAACAAGATCCTAATTATTGGTTAGAAGAAGGCCCGTAGTGGTTAATGAATTGTATTATGGATAACCTTGGGGTAATCAATACTTCCAGTTACTTTCTTTCAAAAGAAAATAATTGATTATATATTTTTTTAAAAAGTAAATTCATCATTGTATAGCATGAGCATATAGCAATTTATTTATGGGCTTCAATAAGATTTGCATTTTGCTTATTTATTTCTTGGGTTTGAGTTTCGACCCCAAAAAACAATTCATGGGTTTGAGTTGTATCAATATTGGCCCAAAACCAGCCACGTAAGAGGCTTTGCCAATGCAAGCCGACCAAAACGACAGGTCCCAGAGTTAGTTGGGTTGCAGGCCTCGCTGGGCTCTTCGCTACCCGAATTTTTTATTTATTATTCTTCTTCTTTGCTTTCTATTGTGAATAAAACGACCCGTCTTTCGTAGCTGGTCACCCCCCCAGCAACCATTTTACTTTCACAGCAAAAAAAATAGAAAGAGCGAAAGACTGAGAGAGAGAGAGAGAGAGAGCGAAAGACAGAGAGAGAGAGAGAGAATCAGATGGAGTCGGAAGGCGGGGCGTCACTGCCGTCAGGACCAGACGCGAAGAAGCGGCGAGTGACATACTTCTACGAGCCCACCGTCGGCGACTACTACTACGGCCAAGGCCACCCGATGAAGCCCCACCGCATCCGCATGGCCCACAACCTAATCGTCCACTACGGCCTCCATCGTCGGATGGAGATCAACCGCCCCTTCCCCGCCGGCCCCAACGACATCCGCCGCTTTCACTCCGACGACTATGTCGACTTCCTCGCCTCCGTCAGCCCCGAGACTCTCGCCGAGTCCTCCTACTCCCGCCACCTCAAGCGCTTCAACGTCGGCGAGGACTGCCCCGTCTTCGACGGCCTCTTCGGCTTCTGCCAGGCCTCCGCCGGCGGCTCCATCGGCGCTGCTGTCAAGCTCAACCGCCAGGACGCCGATATCGCCCTCAACTGGGCCGGCGGCCTCCACCACGCCAAGAAGTCCGAGGCCTCCGGCTTCTGTTATGTCAATGATATCGTCCTCGGCATTCTTGAGCTGCTCAAGGTTCACAAGGTAATAATAAACCACACTTTTGTTTGTTTTTGATTATTAAATTATTAAATTATTTTATTATAAATTGAAATTGTGATTTTTTGGGTTCTAATTTCAACGAGCTTAGCTACTCATTGAGGATATTGGTGTTTCTGTGAGGCATTGTTAACTTACACTAGAGCTATTTTTAGTAACTGAGCTATATATGTTTTGTGCTCTACGTTATATTTAGTGATTTTTAGTTACTGAGATATATTTGTTTTGCTGTATTCTTGCTTGCACTTAACTGGTAACAAGTAGTTTGGGGGTTAGGAAAGTTGAATCTGATAAAAATTTAAGGGTGATATTTATCTGTGAAAGTATCCATTTTTATTTTTCTGATTATACATGCGGTTTAAGTGTCAAATCTTTGTTCTGCTCATTTGTTGTATGCCATCATTACCTTTTCATTGTTTGATAATTTGCATATGTAATCTGGTCATTGTCGCTGGGCAGCGTGTGCTTTATGTAGATATTGATGTGCACCATGGAGATGGAGTTGAGGAGGCATTTTACACCACTGACAGGGTCATGACTGTGTCCTTCCATAAATTTGGGGATTTCTTTCCTGGGACTGGGCACATTAAGGATGTTGGGGCAGGGACTGGGAAGAATTATGCGCTGAATGTCCCGCTAAACGATGGAATGGATGACGAGAGTTTTCGTGGTCTGTTTCGGCCCATCCTCCAAAAAGTCATGGAGATGTATCAGCCTGATGCAGTTGTTCTACAGTGTGGTGCAGATTCGTTGTCTGGTGATAGGTTGGGGTGTTTCAACTTGTCTGTCAAAGGCCATGCAGATTGTCTTCGCTTCCTTAGATCTTTTAATGTTCCTCTGATGGTCTTGGGCGGGGGAGGTTATACGATCCGGAATGTTGCCCGTTGCTGGTGTTATGAGGTTTCGTTCTCGCCTTCTCTCCCCATTTTTGGCAATCACATTAACATCTTTTACTTGTGTCTCCTATTTCTTTGAACTTTTTTTCAACAACTCTTATGCAATGTAACGTCCTTGTTATTGCATCTATTACTTTGCACAGACAGCAGTGGCAGTTGGGGTGGAACCTGATAATAAGTTGCCTTACAATGAATACTATGAGTATTTTGGTCCAGATTATACTCTTCATATTCCCCCATCCAACATGGAGAACCTAAACTCACCTAAAGAGATGGAGGCAATAAGGTGTGTTAGTTGCTGCTAGTGGATTGTATTATCATTCAGTTTACTTTTAAGTTGAATTTTTAATTGGTGATTATTACTGACACCAATAAGGTGAAATTTATTATACCTTACCCCAAGCATTCTTGAACTATTGATTAGAACTATGAAAAATACTTAAAAATCTACTAACCATATGCATTGCTTTAGTATAATTTTGGTAAAAGGAAGTGGTTCTGAACTTAAGAGAACTCATATCATGATGTAAAGAGGAAATAGCTCATCTTTAATTTGCTTATCTTTGCAAATATAATGGAACATTGTCAAGCTTATCTTTGGAACTTTTTGCATGGTGCAGTAAAATCTCTAGCTAGGAAACATTTGTTAGAATGCTGGACTGTTTTGTTTAATTTGCAGTAAACACACACACACACTCTCTCTCTCTCTCTCTTCATACATGTTTTGATTTTTGTTTACTTTCCCAGGAATACACTACTAGACCAACTTTCTAGAATACCTCATACACCCAGCGTTCCTTTCCAGACAACACCACCAACAACACAAGTTCCAGAGGAGGTTCGTGTTAGTGACGAATTGATTCGATGATTTTCCAGGGTTTTATGGTTTCAGCATTTTCCTTGATTCTTATAACTTTACTGTTTGCTTCAATGGATGCAGGCGGAAGAGAACATGGAAGAAAGGCCAAAGCCTCGCATTTGGGATGGCGCGGATTATGATTCTGATCCTGAAGAAGACAAGCATTGGACTAAATTCTCCAACCCTGTTAGTCAGCATGCAGTTAAAACTGAGATGCGGTAAGGCTTTTTATATTTTATATCATAGTAAAATAATCATATATCAATGAGACTTGTATCCAAAGTGTATTAAGGATATTTCTCTTGATAAAAATGCGATTCAATTGTTGGATAATGAGCATTTTAGTTATTGTCCCTCTTCTAATGTTCAGAGTTGTGGTTGTTAATATAGGGATGATGCAGATGGGATGGAAGACGAGAAACCAAATCATCCTCCGTGCTGCTGACACAGATGGAATTTTGTAGCTTCTGGTCGTAATGTCCCTGTATCACCTGTCTATGAGATGTTTACTGAAGCAGAGAGAGCTTTGTTCAAGCCGCATAATTTCTAGAAAAGGCATCCTATTAATTAGCGAGGAATTAGAGCAGGCTACTAGGCACCATCCTAATTGTCAAGTCGGTGATGCCCTTGCTAATTGGAAGCCATTTGTTTTAGAATCACCCTTTGTAAAACCGAACTTACATTGAAAGCAGGCGAATATCAATACACTGTGCATAGAAAGCTTCTAAGATTAGTTCTAAAGGATTACTGTGTTTCTAGTTTATTGTTTATGTAGCCTCTCAGAATGCAGAATGTACCAATTATATGTTATTTTGTTCGTTTGAAAATTCTCTTATTCTCAAAAGAAGAAAAGAAAAAAAGGAAAATTTTCTGTAATTTGGAGGGTATTCTATCTACATTGCGTGAAGCATTGCCAGGTGACCCGTGAAGCTGAACGGCACAGTAGAAAAGTAAATCCTATCACAATCCAGTTCTAGAATTCAAAGAAATTTTAACAATTTTCTTAAATATAATATAAATTTTATGGGCGCTATTATGGAGAATTACGCTCCCTTTTCTTCTTCTCTGGTTTCTATATGTGAAGTGAAACAGACTACAGAGAACAATAAGCAATGTCGCTTCAGCAAAACCCCCACCAAATTCGACCGTTGATTTCCTACCCAATTCAAAATTTCCCAAGCTCTTTCCAAACCTCATCTCCAACCCTCCATTTCTCCACCAAAACACCTCCAAAGCCAATCCACTTCCACCCATTGACGCCAAAATCCCAACCCGCCCACCATCCGGCCCCCCAAACCAGAACCCAAGAGGACGGCATCCCCGCCGAGGATGTCAAAATCCTCGCCAAATTCAAGTCCAGGTACAATTACATTCGTGTCCTCGAAGTTTCTCGAAGAGCCGACCACCCCTTTGCTGGGTCAAGGCTTCTCCTTCTTGACAACCCTGGAAACATCCACAGCATCTCCTTCATTTTCAAGTCCCTCACCAGCACTTACTTTGACGTCTTCGCCACTTTGCCGCCGATTTTGCCTCCTGGACCAGTCGGAATTCTTGGGTTCGGGGCGGGTTCTGCCGCAAGGTCCATTCTTGAGCTGTACCCAGAAGTTGCGGTTCATGGGTGGGAGCTTGACCCGTCTGTGATTGCTGTGGGCAGAGAGTACTTTGGTCTCTCAAAGCTGGAAAGACAGTACCCAGGTAGGCTTATAATTCATGTTGGAGATGCATTCAAAGCTAGCACTAGAGATGGGTTTTCAGGGATTTTGGTGGATTTGTTTTGTAAAGGCAGTTTGGTTCCTGAGCTGCAAGACCCAAATACTTGGGAGATGCTCAGAAAGTGTTTGAGAAAAGGCGGGAGAATAATGGTCAATGTAGGAGGTAGTTGTGTGGAGGCTGAGGACTCAACGAGAGATGGGAAAGTAGTTATGGAAGACACATTGAAGGCTATGCATCGGGTTTTCGGCAACAAGCTTTTCGTATTGGGCCTTGGGAATCGACAGGAAGATAGCTCCCTTGCTCTTACTGGTGATTTGCCTGATCTTGAAGCTTGGAAGAAGATGCTGCACCGTTCCTTAGCTCGTTATGTTGATAAGTGGAAGCCATTTAGCGGTTAAATGGGTAGGCGTTCTTTACTTCCTTCGATTAAGGATAGCTATTACTTTGATTACTGAAGCATTCGTTAGACATTAGGCAATCTATTGATGCTAATCCATGTAATTGTGCATTAATTTTCCTGTTTGAATCAGCATAGATAAAAATTTAATTATTACATTGTATTGTTGGCATGTGTCAATATTTGAGTTTTCTTTGAGCTTCTTGGTTGAGTCCTGGTGCATCCTCATAAATCAAGTTGAAGGATACAGCTCAATATGTAACTTGTACTAAACAATAGTTTTGTCCCCAACTTGTGCTTAAAACAGTAACAGAGAGAAGTAAAATTGTCATAATCGGCTGTTCTATTCATCAGAAGGCTTTAGACTACAATTTCTGCCCACCCCCACTTGCTAAAAACCCTTCATTTTAAGCCAGATTCCCAACTTGGTTTTCTTTTTTGTGACTTTTGGGTTTTTCGAGCAGCTTGTTGGAAGGGTTGAATTCATATCAGTGACAGAAGCCAGCTGTATGCTATACCATCCAATATAAATATTCTGGCTTTTATTCAATACTATAAATTTCATTGAAATTGTGCCACTAACATTTACAAAACTGAGGATGTTTATAGACTATCAGTCAGCATGTTTTTTAAGCATTATATATCATATCCTAGCCTTTGTAAATCGAAGTCAACTGTGTCGCTATATGGTGACTGTGCTTCCTATGAAAGCAAGGGAAGTAACATGTAACGTCGAGGTCAACTCCGTCATATCTTAGCCTATTTAACCATAGTCGATCCTTCTTCTACCAAATCCTCATTAACACACTATAGTCTCTCATAAAGACAATTAGCTCAAGTAGAGTATAAATCTTGGTTTCAAATTGAAAGCCTTCTGCAGGTTCTTGTTCTTCCAAGATGAGCAGTTTTATGGAAAAGTTTGTTTTAGCTGTTGTGGCAGTATATCTTCTTGTGGGTGTTTCTTCTGCAACTTCTACATTACTTCGTCATGGTAATAATATCTTTCCTGTATCTGTGTATCAGTTCCATTGAAGTTGACCATGTTGACTAAGACCCACTCATGACTTGATCTAGTTTTATGATTTACCACTTATCAACATTTCATTCTGCATTTACGTATGTTGTAGAGAATCATGAGGTTGTACTATTTTCCCTTTAATATATCAAACTTTGTGACTATTAACATTTCTTGCTTCTTGTGGTCTTCTATGGCTGAAGGTGGCGAGAAGAGTTTGTCGCACATTGACTGCAGAGATGGCATGAGAAAGATTATTGGAAGAAAAGGAGGTAGCTTTGGATGTCAAAGTCACATTGTTAGCAAGAATACAGTGCCCATCCGCAGCCTAAGAATAATTGTTACAACCTCTCCGCCTTCACCGACTAAAAATCCACGAAAGTCTCAGGGCGCTCCTGCACCTCCTCCGCTTATTATATGATGGCCGGACACCTATGTTTATTTCTTTTCCCATTGTTTCCTAGTGAAAATTCTTGTTGCTTCATTTGCAAGTCCTTTTGGTCTTTGTACAAGCGACTTGAGTCAAAGTATGTATATGTGTTTGAATATGTTTGCAAGTATACAAATCCATAATTATATCTTCAATTTTCACAAGGAACTCAAAAGACCGCGTATCAAGTTTTCCTGAGCAACAACATCGAGTTCTAACCTACATATTTAGTAACCTAATGTGTCGTTGCTCTGATCTAAGATTACAAAGCAATTTAATTGAGTGCAAAAGAAACGTGAAATGCCAAAAGCACTGGACAGGGAAGCCTCCAGGAAGAAAAACCAACTACGGCTTCTTGGTCAAAAGCCGCCTAGAGTTGGGAGAATTGTCATACAATGGGCTGTATCAAAATTCTAAGGTTAAAGTCAAGTTACACAATGCCTATAATTCTTGTCTTCATCGTAAAGAGTCAACGTTGACGCGATTGCTAAGCCCCACACCGGCTGGGCTGCATGAGAGCTGGGTATAGGACTTGGCTGTGCACTTGTTTACACAAAATTCAACTATTAGGATATTTCTAGCATTCATTGGACACGGCAATATCCTGAAGCTGCTAGGCGAGGTTCTGCTTTCTACCTCCGACGATGAATGGTTTTCCAGCAAAGTTTATGCTGGTTATTGCAGCACTAGTGTTGCTTCTTATGGGGGAGTTCCAAGCAACATGTGCTTTTCTTCGTCACGGTAGGTAATTAGCTAGTTACATATTAATGACTTTATGCTTTATCTGGTAATTAAATTAATTAATTTCTTGCTTGCTTGCTGTGATTTTCTTTATATGGCTAGCTGAAGCTGATCAAGGTATTGTGAAGAGTACTTTGTCGCATGTTGACTGTACAAGAGATGGCTTGAGAAAGATAAATACTGGAAGAAAAGAAGCTAGCTTTGGATCATGTCAAACTCACATTTTTAGCAAGAAAATAGTGCCCATCCGACGCAACCTAAGACAACCATTGACAGGGCCCAAGCCACCTTCTCCCACCCATAACTTCCCTCCGCACTACAGACGACCGGATTGGCCGTCACCACCTCCGCCATCATTCAATGATACTTACTCTCCGGAATCCAAAGTAATGTTACACAGTACCGCATCATTTGGTATACAAAATTTGATGAATAAATTTAGTGCGTTTAGCATTACTCATCATATGTACTTAATTAATCTATTCCCTAGGCAAGTAATTGTCTTTTAACTTGTTGCCTCATCTGCAAGTCCATTGATTTAGCACCAAATTTATACAAGCATCTGTAATCTAAGAAAGGAAAATACAATAATAAAATTCTAAATAAGCACTAAAATAAGGTGATTATGGCACGAAAGCTACTTGCTTCCATTAACTTGTGCAGTTTCCACTTATCCACTCGCATTAAGCTAAGGCCTGGTGTGCAGCTGCAGGCAGATTTCAATATGAACGCACTTACTGAGGTGAAGAGAAGGAAAGCTATGGGACTAAAAAAGTCTAAGGTTGAAGTCAACCTTTTGAAAATCTAAACCAAATCATGTAATAAAAAGTATCGTCTATAAATCTCGCTTCCTCAAGCCTTCTTCATGTCACAGAATTTACAGTTCGCAACAACTATAAGTTGTTGGTTCTGTTTCAGAAAATGAATGGTTTTCCAGCAAAATTTACGGTACTTGCAGCCGCTGTGTTGTTTGTTTTGGGGGATTTTGCAGCAACTTCTGCCTTGATTCCAGTTGGTAATGGTTTTTCATGTTAGTATTTATTGTGTCTGCTGAGAATTTCATCCGCTATGTATTAGCGTTCATGTATGCATGAATTGATATTATTTTTGGCATGAAATAAGGTGGTAAGCAGAGCACTTCAGCATTTGTGTCTGACAGTAAAGATGGCTCAAGATACACATTTTCAAGGAGAGACGGTTGCTTTGGATGTCAAAGTATGAACATTAACAAAGGCAGGCAAGTGCTGCTGAGATTGAGGAGGCTGCAACAAACAAGAAGATTTACAAGGCCACCACCCCCACCAATCAGAAGTTCATTTGGGATATGTTCTGCTCCCTCCGCTCCTCCTCCACCACTCACTGCATGATTAGCCATGCTTCTTTTTTCATTTGGAAAATCAATCTACGCAAGAAAATTATATTTTTTTAATAAAATTATCAGAACCCTTGTGTCAAATTATGTTCTTTCAGTTCCATTTGCTTCACTTGGATTGGACCTCTCCAAGGTTTGCCAATAATTGAATGCAAAAGAAACGTGAAATGCCAAAGGCACTGAACAAGGAAGCTTCCAAGAAGAAAAACCACTAGCGGCTTTTTAGTCAAAAGCTATATAGCCTACAGTATAGAGAATTGTCACACAATGAGCTGGTTTTTGTCGTTTTGGAGTGGGAAAATCAGCTCCCGTTAAATTGTGTTTTAATAAGGGGACAGTGGCTTCCATGAAAGCAAGGGGAGCAAACGTGTGAAATAGAAGTCAACTCCATAATTTCTGAACTTCTTTTACCAAATCCTCATTAAATAAAACAAAAAACTTTATTTATAATAATGTATTTCAAAGACAATTTAGCTCAAGTAGAGAGACTATAAAGTCTTGCTGTCCAGGGTTTTCAATATCCTAGGATCTTGACAAATCATTCACACTGAAAGGCCTCTACAAGTTCTTGGTTCCAGCTTTCCATTATGAGAAATTTTCTGGCAAAGTTGGTTTTAGCTCTAGTAGCAGTATATCTTCTTCTTGGTGTTTTTCCTGCAACTTCTACATTACTTCCTCAAGGTAATAATATCTTCCTGTGATGAGATCTGTATTCACCTATTGAATTCAATTCTGCATTTACGTATCAAAGTTTTCGAGGATCGAAACTTTCTTGCGATTAACATTTCTTTCTTGCTGTGTTTTTTAATTTTAGCTGAAGGTGGTGAGAAGAGTAGTACTTTATCTCAAGTTGACTGCAGAGATGGCTTGAGGAAGATAATTGGAAGAAAAGAAGGTATCTTTGGATGTCAAAGTGACTTTGTTAGCAAGAAAATAGTGCCCATCCGTAGCCTAAGAATAACTCTTACGTCGTCGCCTCCTTCACCCATTAAAAATTTACCAAAATCACAGGGTGGTTATGCACCTCCTCCACTTATTTTATGATGAATATGTATGTTTACTTTGTGTATGAATATGTTGATGCCTCATTTGCAAGTCCATTTGGCTTTGAGGTCTTTCTTTCTACAAGCTCTTAGAGTCAAAGCATAATGTAAATGTGTCTGACTATGTTTTGAGCATAAATCCATTTATCTCAGCAATTTCTCACACAAGGAACTCAATCTGAGTATTGATGGAAACAGAGGCTAAATCCCACTTACTAGAATTGGAAAGGTTACACTAAAAATGTGATAGATACCAATAAACAAATAAACTCAGTCTTTTCACTTGAACTTGTTCATCAGTTTTCACAGAAGATCCACAGTTGGGTTCTTATCGCATAAGCTTCCATCAGATCACATATTCCTTGCTACAAACTAGATTGTGAAGGGGTTTAGGATGTGTTTGTTGTTGGTTACTGTATATGGGACAAGTAGTGGTTAGTATTTGGTGCGTTTGGTGAACAAAAATTGATGAATAAATTTGGTGCGTTTGACATTTCTCTTATGTACTTAATCTATGGATGTCAATAATTCCTTAGGCAAGTTATAGTTTTAACTTGTTGCCTCATTTGCAAGTCCATTTAGTTTTGGGTGTTAATTCACAGATTTTTATAATGATTGTTGTATGCATTTTACAAGGACCAAATTTATACAAGCATAAGTAGCTGAGAAAGGAAAATACAAGAATAAAATTTGAAGGACTAAAATTAAGGATGATGGAGGAGGTAATTAAGGGTCTTTTATATGCTCTGAGTCCTCTTCATCTCCACTTGTTTTGGTGCTTCCAAAAACTTTACAGTTTCCAGTTCCACTGCCATTAAGCTTAAGGTCTGGTGCAACCGTAAGCAGATTCTGTTGAAAGTTCCATATTTCAATGTGAAAGCAGTTATTTTGAGGGGTAGGGTAGCAGTCCAAGGTTGAAGTCAAACTTTTGACAATCTGGCAAAGTCTATAAATCTTGCTTTCCTTGCCTTCTTCTCATCGTTGAGGCCATAAGGTTTTCTTAAGTTATTGTTTCTGCTTCTGATGAAGATGGATGACTTTCCAGCAAAGTTGGTGGTAATTGCAGCACTAGTGTTGCTTCTTTTGGGGGATTTCCAAGCAACTTGTGAAACATTACTTCCTCATGGTAATTGATAACATCTCCCTGTGATTAGCTAATTACATTGATAACTTGATCATCTGATAATTAATTTCTTGCTTGCTTTGATTTTCTTGTATGGCTGAAGGTCGTGGGAAGAGTAGTTTATGGCATGTTGACTGTAGAGATGGCTTGGCAGAGATACATATTGGAAGAAAACAAGGTAGCTTTGGATGTCATTGTCAAGGTGAGAATTTTAGCAAGAAAATAATGCCCATCCGGCGCAGCCTAAGACCAATTACTGGGCAGAAGCCATCTTCACCCACTAAAAATGGACGAAAGCAACAGTTCCTTCCACCACTTTCACCACGCCGGCCACTCCCGCCACATCCGCCACCTCCCCCATCATCAAATGATTCTTATTCTCCGGGATCCTAAGTAATGTAGCATGGATAGACCATATCTCAATTGAATTAGAAAATATGTTCTGTCATCACTGATAGAAGTTGGCCTATATTCACTTGCTCTATGGATGCTATTCATTCCCTAAGGAAGTTAGTTCTTTAACTTGTTGCCTTCCATTTGGCTGTGGGGTCTTTCTACAAGCCACTTGAGTTAAAAGTATGTAATTGTGTCTGAATATGTCATTTTCTTCACCACATGTGTGACATAGGCAGGCCTTTAACAAACTGCTCCAATTAAGCCTCTAAATAAATCCTCCTCTTGATTTCCACTTCATTTTGTGCTTCAAAAACTTGTTCAGTTCTCATTCCCTCCTTCTCTTTTGTGTTTCCTCAAAGTTCTATTAGCATGCATATGGCAACAGGGCATCCATCTTCTCGAGTTCTGTATATCCATATATCTCCTCAAGTTTTGTCACTTTCTCATTGAGTTTTCTGTTGATCTCCTCAAGTTGTGTAACGAACTCCGTGAGTTTTGTTTCCCAGTCCATGACTTTTGTAATCATCTCCTCCAAGATTGGTTTCATCTCTTCTGCTTGGGCTGAAGCCTTAGCTCTGAAACCTGCAATCCAAATAGCAATGTGAGTATCACTCATTTGAGAATTCTGGGCAAGTTCCAGTGTCAATGCCTTCCTCTTCTTCTGTTAAGAACATATGAGTTCTTCCCATATAAGCTATCATATTGGGTTCATTCACCTCAAACACCAAACTGGCATCATCATCAGGGACCATTTCGTTCATTGTTAGCTCTTGACATCCTTTTTTGTTCCGAGTCTTTTTCTTTTTCCTTTTTGACAACTTGTTTCTGAGATGGCAATTTATAGAGACCCTCTTCTTGGCTTCATTCATGTTTCTGTAGGTGTTAAGCACATTGGGAAGGTAATCAGTCTCCAAAAATAATTTTTGGTAGTTGCATTGTTTTATTCCAATGTTCCATGAGGATTGAAACAGCCTCAAAATAATAAGAAAAACACAGAATCTGAATAATGCCATAGAACACATAGAAACACATAAGATCATTTATTCTGATAATGATGTAATGCCTTCAACAGACTGCACTCTAATAAAGCCGCTAAGTTGAAGGTTTAGGAACTTGGGAATGGGTTTGAAATCCCATATTTGCCATATTTGGTAAGTTCACTCTTGGAAATCCAATTACGCACACTCTTAACTTGTTCTGTTCCATTTGTTTCCTTTCCAACTGCTTGAGTTTTGTATCTAACTCCTTCATTGAAGTTGCAAGAAACTCTAAGTGTGTTGTTTCCTTCAACTCTGTTTCAACCTTCTCCACCATTGTTTCCACATTTTTTCTTTCCATCTCCTCCAACAGTGTTTCGATATTTTTTCTTTCCATCTCCTCCAACATTTGTTCTTCATTGAAGTTGCAAGAAATTCTAAGTAATGTTACACAGTACCACATCATTTGGTATACAAAATTTGATGAATAAATTTAGTGCGTTTAGCATTACTCATCATATGTACTTAATTAATCTATGGATTTCAATAATTCCCAAGGCAAGTAATTTGTCTTTTAACTTGTTGCCTCATCTGCAAGTCCATTAATTTAGCACCAAATTTATACAAGTATCTGTAATCTAAGAAAGGAAAATACAATAAGAAAATTCTAATAAGGACTAAAATAAGGTGATTATGGCACGAAAGATACTTTGCTTCCATTAACTTGTGCAGTTTCCACTTATCCACTCGCATTAAGCTAAGTCCTGGTGTGCAGCTGCAGGCAGATTTCAATATGAACGCAGTTATTGAGGGGAAGAGAAGGAAAGCTGTGGGACTAAAAAAGTCTAAGACTGAAGTCAACCTTTTGAAAATCTAAACCAAAGCATGTAATAAAAAGTATAGTCAATAAATCTTGCTTCCTCGTGCCTTCTTCATGTCACATAATTTACAGTTCGCAACAACTATAAGTTGTTGGTTCTGTTTCAGAAAATGAATGGTTTTCCAGCAAAATTTATGGTACTTGCAGCCGCTGTGTTGCTTGTTTTGGGGGATTTTGCAGCAACTTCTGCCTTGATTCCAGTTGGTAATGGTTTTTCATGTTAGTAGTTATTGTGCTTGAGAATTTCATCCGTATATTAGCGTTCATGTATGATGTATGCATGAATTGATATTTTTTTGGCATGAAATAAGGTGGTAAGCAGAGCACTTCAGCATTTGTGGCCGACAGTAAAGATGTCTGAAGAAGAACATTTTCGAGGAGAGAAGGTTGCTTTGGATGTCAAAGTATGAACCTTAACAAAGGCAGGCAAGCGCTGCTGAGATTGAGGAAGCTGCAACAAACAAGAAGATTTACAAGGCCACCACCCCCACCGATCAGAAATTCCTTTGGGATATGGTCTGCTCCCCAGAGCTGGTCCTGAGCTCTCAAGGGCCTAGGGCGAAAATCTAAAGTGTGCCCATGTACACACATTAATAACTGAAACTGTAGGGGTTCTTAGATCTAGGTCCAAAACGATTAGCTGTCATTGGGTCTAGTCCTCGAGTTTTTGGTTTTAGATGTAGGTCCTTCGACATTTATTACTTTTTTGTTGTGGCGATTTTACCCTTTAAGGTAAATAAGGAAAACACATTGAAAATCTAAATTTAATGCATTATTTCCTTGAAATTGAATTCCAAATTTTGAATTTTGAATTTTTTTCCTTGATAAGATCCCTAATATATAGATAAAATACAATTTAATCAATAAAAAGTAAAGACTCACATATTATACCAATCGATCAGACAAGCATCCACATTAAATTATGTACCTGACATATAGGTAAATAATGTTAATACATACATGTATATATGTACCTGCCTTACAGGTAAGTGTTTTTTTCTTGAGTTTTCTTAAGTAGTTTTTTCTGGAGGTTCATATTCATATACATATGTACATGTCTTCCATGTAATAGTGTTTTTTTTTTTTTCCAAAGAAATTTTGTATGGATTTTTATCTCAGTTGAATTTAAAGATCCATACCAAGATATTATATGAGTTCAATTAGCTGGGCTAGAGGGTATAACTACCTAAACTAGAGGTAATTTATGGATTTAATTACCTGGACCAGAGGTAATTTATGAGTTTAATTACCTGCATACTGCATACGAGGAGTTTAATTACTTGCATACTGGATACGAGGTGTATGCATAGGTATCTTACCTATTGTTAAGGTATGAAGTTTTTATGAACTCTTATTACAAATTTTGATGTCGGTATATCTTGGGAAAATTTCAGAATTCAATAAATAAATTTGCAATTAAATTCAAATCAAATATGATAATTAATATCCTACAAATCAATAACTTACCAGTTTTAGGAATCCATAATTTACCTTATTTATGTTTTAGGTGCATAATTGGAACAAAAAATATAAAATATAAAAAAGTAAATATCAATAAATTGAAATAGGCATGTAATCTTATGTGTCGCAAAAGTCAAAGGACTTGGATCAACAACAATTTCTGTATGGATTGCACCCAAAATCTCGACTCATAATTGGACTTATGCCAAATTTTCTATTTTTAAAAAATAAACTAAGCATTGATTTTTTTTAAAGAAAATATTTTTCTAAAGATCTTTTTTAGACTTTGAGCTATGTCTTATTTTTCTTTTTTGTCTTTTTAAGATTTCCAGAGTTTTAAATTTTATATTAAATAGAACTAATGACAATAAAAATCTAAACAATCACCACAACAAGTTAGAGGCAATAGCAATAAAGAAACTAAAAATATGATCAATCACACTCAAGCATGAAATGTTCAACTCTAATAATTTAACTAATAAACAGAGAACAATATAACATTTGGGTTTTGAGCATATTTTTCCCTTCAAATATAATCACATAAAACTAAACTAAACATTCAATTCTCATCCTCTAAACATTCAATGCTCGTGTAAAATTTAAAAAACATTCAAATCAACTTAAAATATAAAAAAGCTGAGAAAACTAACAAAACATATTGACAGAATATGGTGGTTAATTTATTAATATGAAGAAGATAGCGAGTGAGTAAAATTGTTGAGCCAAAAACAAAAGGCACTCAACCAAACCAACTAAAAAGGAAAAGAATGAGAAAAAAAAACAAATGAAAGTTTTGAAACCTCTTCAAAAATCCAAATTGCAAAATTTCAAGTAGTACCACCCTTCATTCAATTGTGCTCTCTTCAAGATGGCCAAGACCCATATAAGAAATACCATTTCGACCAAAAAAGAGATAGAAGAAATACCAGTTCCTTTTTAAAATTATTTTTTTACTTTGGCTTTGACTGCTGGTTGAACCCACATATTGATGAATCAATCACATTGATTTTGCCCAACAGGTTATCAATTCTTAAATTATTATTCTGTTCACTTGAATTTTATGAAGGTTTATATTAACTTCAACTCGGGGACAAGAAAGGGTCGGCAGCTCCTTGTTTAATTTCCTATTTTTGGGTTTCTAGTATGAATAAAAGAATCATAATCTATTTTGTTTTTAAATTTAACAGTTTCTTGATAAAACAATACACCGATATGTTGGATATACCACAGAGTTAAATAAAAATGCAACAACTTCCACTAGTACATTTTAGTATTTGTTTTTAGAATGGGAGGTATCAGAAAGAATTTAAATTCTCATTCCCCAATATCGCTTGTATAAATAAAATAATTGAAGAAATAACTCTAGCCCAATGGGCTAAAGTGGTATTTTTGCCCTAAACCCTAAAATGATATGACAAAATTTTATATTTAAACAGTATAGCCGATCGGCTGTACTTTCTAAATACATTCGAATAATTTAAAAGTATAGCCGTTTGGCTATACTCTTTAACTATTAATATATTCGAATATTTTAAGAGTATAGCCGTTCGGCTATACTCTTGAAATATATTCAAGACGAACACGAAGCTTGCACTCGCAGAGGACGGAGCTCGCAGACGCAGTGACAGCCATGTCGCTTCTCTATCAACTCAAGCTTCGATTTGTTTTCTTCGGTTTCAGCACCGAGAAAAGACCCAAACCGCCTAGGAGGCCCGCCCAGCCGCCTAGCACCCGCCTAGCCGCCTAGCCGCCCGCCTAGGCCGATTTTTGGAACACTGCGATTGACTGAAAGTCTGAAACCCGAAATTGAAAAAGTTTAGCTGCAAATTTGAGCTTGAGATTGAGAAGCGGAAGCAGTGAAGCACAAGTCAGGTCCATAGAAGAAGAGATCATGAGACTCTTAATTCATCTAATTCCATTCCTCTCCCTGTTTCCTGCCTTATTCTCTTCTCATGGAGTTTCTATGGTCATGCCAATAACAAGGTTCGGTTTTTAGGCCCCAATCTCAAATTCTGACTATTTATTTCTGGTTCGGTTAAGCAATAGATTGATTGGTTTGGTACTTCTTGCTTGAAACTTGATAAATCTTTATGCATTCAATATTCATCCATTGATGGTTCTTCTTGGTTGGACTGCTTTTCATTCTTTTGGATATTGCATTTCTGTTATAGATTTTGACATTTGATCATGCCCTCTTGTTTGCTGATATTAAAAAAAAAAAAAAGATTTGTCTCCTCCTCCTGTTGCATAGGAACACAAAACCATCTTACAAAATGGTTGTGCTAAGGATGCTCATCTGAGTCAGTGGACTGAAAATGGAGGGGAAACAGCAAAAATTTTCTATAGAACTGAACCTACCTATCTTAGAAAATGGAGGGGCAGAAGAGTACAAAATCAAATAGCTTACCATATTTTTGTTGCTGGTTCTTCCTCACATATAATAGGCAGGGTTAGGCCCAGGATCAGCAGTCCAGTAGACAACACAGTACTGGTTACTATGATCTTTGTATTGTGTCCTCGATCTAGGAATGAAGTATTTGAAAGCAGAAGATTGAGGAGTCAGAAATTTGTAAAGAAGAAAATCTTTACTTTTTATCATCCAACTAACAATTAATGATAGTTTCTGAGAAAATTCTAAAGAAATATTTTTCTAATAATGTCAAAAGTTTTCTGGCTCTATCATGTTTCTAATCATGTCACTGTTGGAAGATTTCTTTCTTCTTTTTTCCTTGGTGGCTTTTATTTTTCATTCAAACTTTGTTTTAAACAGCAAGATGATTCCATACCTCGTTCTGATGAAGCCATTCTTATGTAAATATCTTGCCCATTTATATTGGAATATCTTATATCAATCAGATCGCTGAACCACAGCAAGCACCCCCTTCCTCCATCTCGGATATCCAAATTTGAAAAAGCGGTGCAGGAGCAGTTGTTCATGCACAACATCTCACATTCCTTGAGGTTCATACTTGTGTTATACCAGGATTGTTCTGTACTTGGCAATTTCACCCCATAGTACTTCTTAAAGGTGTCTCCACTGCAATTCAGTTGGCTCTTTCTCACACAGCTATATGACCAATCCACCAAGTCACACAGCTATATATATATATATATATATATAGACAAAGAAAAATTTGTGCCCCGGGCTTTGGCCCTGGTAGCCCTAGGCTAGGGCCGGCTCTGCTGCTCCCCCCGCTCCTCCTCCATCACTAATTGCATGATTAGCCATGCTTCTTTTTTCATTTGAAAAATCAATCTACGCAAGAAAATCCCATTTTTTAAATAAAATTATCAGAACCCATGTATCAAATTATGTTCTTTCAGTTCCATTTGCTTCACTTGAAGAGTATCGCCGCACGGCTATACTATAGTTTTTATTATAAAAAATAGTATAGCCGAGCGGGTATACTGTTTTTACATATGGCGCCGATCGCTAGGCCCTTTTTTTTAATAAAAAATAGTATAGCCGACCGGCTATACCTCTTTGACACGCGGCTCCGAATCCCTAGGAGGGTTCTTTTCTAAAAATAGTATAGCCGGGCGGCTATACCCGGGGCTTTATTTATAAAAACAGCATGCTATACGCTGGGTTTTTATAAAAATAGTATAGCCGCGCGGCTGTACTGTTTTGACACGTGGCGAAGCGGAGCAGACCCCAGTGGGTCCCTTTTTAAAAATGAAAACTAGTATAGCCGCCCGGCTATACAAGAGTTTTTATTTTAAAAAATAGTATAGCCGCCCGGCTATACTGTTTTTGACACGCCGCTCGGCTCTATTGCGTCTGAATATGTTATTTCCTTCAGCACACGTTTAACAACTGCTCCAATAAAGCCTCTAAATAAATCCTCTTGATTTCCACTTCATTTGGTGCTTCAAACACTTGTTCAGTTCTCATTCCCCTCCTCCCCTTTTGTGTTTCCTCAAATTTCTATTAGCATGCAGATGGCAACAGGGCATCCATCTTCTCGAGTTCTGTATATCCATATATCTCCTCAAGTTTTGTTACTTTCTCATTGAGTGTTTTCTGTTGATCTCCTCGAGTTGTGTAACCACCCCCTTGAGTTTTGTTTCCCAGTCCATAAGTATTTTGTTCGTCTCCTCCTAGATTGTTTTCATCTCTTTTCTGCTTGGGCTGAAGCCTTAGCTCTGAAACCTGCAATCTAACTGGTAATGTGAGTATCACTACTCATTTGAGAATTCTGGGCAAGTTCCAGTGTCAATGCCTCTTCCTCTTCTTCTGTTAAGAACATATGAGTTCTTCCCATATAAGCTATCATATTAGGTACATTCACCTCAAACACCAAACTGGCATCATCATCAGGGTGTTTCACCAAACTGGCATAATCATCATCAGGGCAAGTTCCAGTCAGTGAGCCTGCTATTCCACCCAAGTTCGAATCTCCATCCTCATAAACTATCGCTTGTATTAGAAATTTTTTATTTATATATATATATATATATAGGCCACGTTGAGTCTCCCAAAGAAGACGTGCCCAAACAAAGCTGGGTAGGCAAATTATATTTTCAACAAAACTATCAGAACTCATGTGTCAAAATTGATGTCCTAACTTAAAAGTTATGTTCTTTCATTTCCATTTGCTTCACTTGGACCTCTCCAAGGTTTATTTATCTTTATCAAGAACCAAGCAGTTGCATGCTTTGATTCTCAAGACCCATCTCTCCCACGACCCATTTTATGCAACTAGAATCGTTAGATTCTATGCAGTCAATGGTGACCTTCACTCTGCTTGTAAGCTGTTCGATGAAAGTCCCAGCCAAAGCGTCTACCTTTGGAACTCCATTATTCGAGCCCACGCTCAAGCCCACAAATTTGAGGAAGCATTTTCTCTGTTTACTAAGATGCTTAGAACCGAAATCAAACCTGATAACTTCACTTATGCTTGCATTATACGTGCATGCTCTGAGAGCTTTTATTTGGAAGGACTGAAGCTTGTCCATTGTGGAGTAACAGTTTCAGGGTTAGGATTGGACTCTATCTGTAGCAGTGCACTTGTTACAGCTTATTCAAAACTCGGCCTTGTTGATGAAGCAAGTAGGGTGTTTTATGGGACACCACAGCAGGATTTGGTTTTGTGGAATTCTATAATTTCAGGTTATGGAAACTGTGGGCGTTGGGACAAAGGGTTGCAACTATTTAGTGAGATGAGAAGCATAGAGATGATGCCGGATGGATACACAATTGTTGGGTTGCTTTCGGGTTTATCGGATTCCAGCTTGATAACTATTGGCCAAGGACTACATGGTCTTTGTTTGAAATGTAATTTAGATTCTAATGCTCATGTAAGCAGTGTACTTGTGAGCATGTATTCAAGATGCATGTGTATGAACTCTGCACATAGAGTTTTTAGTGGTTTGTTCCAGCCAGATTTAGTTACATGGTCTGCTTTGATAACTGGGTATTCACAGTCTGGGGATTATGGCAAGGCATTGTTCTTCTTCAAGAATTTGAACATGGAAGGTAAGAAGGCTGATTCCATTTTGATTGCCAGTGTGTTGGCTGCTGCTGCTCAGATAGCAAATGTAGGGCCTGGCTGTGAGATACACGCTTATGTTCTTCGACATGGACTTGAATCTCATGTCATGATTTCCTCTGCTCTCATAGTCATGTATTCAAAGTGCGGTTTCTTGGGCATGGGGACTCGTGTGTTTGAGATCATGCCAGAAAAGAATATTATTTCCTACAATTCATTAATATTGGGTCTTGGTTTGCATGGTCTTGCTTCTGAGGCCTTTAGAATGTTTGATGAGATACTGAGAAACGGGTTAAAACCTGATGAATATACTTTTACTGCTCTCCTTGGTGCATGCTGCCATGCTGGCCTTGTCAAAGATGGCCGTGAAATTTTCAGAAGAATGAAGGATGAGTTTTGCATTCAACCTAGAACAGAGCATTATGTTCATATGGTAAAACTTCTTGGGATGGAAGGAGGGTTGGAAGAG